CAAACTGTGCCAAAGCAGCTTCGGGGTGATGGGCTGTCTGTTGTGCATTGTACTCTTGCTGGGATCTTCTCTGATGATCCTATTGACCATGATGGTCTCCTCGCTACCGTCCCATCAGCTTAGGACTTCTCGGTTAGTTAGTTTGGTACTCACCGTTCTGTAAACCACCCCTTCTTCCCTCTTGCCCAGTTGGCAGTTTGACAAGGGCCAGGCGGCATCAACATGAATGCAACCAATCCAAGAACAAGAGTCAGAAGACCCTTTGATTTCGTTAGCACAAGCCACATGTTATGTCTATGGGGTATTGTTACCTCGATCAAGAAAAGCCATCGCCACCCGGCGTAGCCAAGGTGCCCTCGCATGCGAAGCAAGCCTGCCCCTAAGAAACTGGCAATGATATCGGCTATCGACATGGCTGTCCACCAGAAGCCGAGTCTGAGAGAAAGTTCACCATGCTTGTAGAAGTATGAGAGGTACAGGATCATCTGGACAAAACATCAGCCTCTATTTCTTAGAGACGAAATTGACAGGCGTCTTGACATACATCGGGGATGAAGCCACCCTGCAGAAGGGCAAGTAGGGCCCTGCAAGTGAGAAAACTGGCTCGACCAGAAAGCCAGAACTGTGAGCCGGCAACAAGAGACCAAAGCACCATCTGGGTAGGAATCCAGCGATCGGGGCCCATCCACTTGGAAACCAGTTGAGAAGGGAGCTCGGCGCAAAGGAAGCTGAGTTTGAAGACGGTGTTTCCCCAGTTGTAGTCTGTATGCTATCAGCCAAGGTCCTCATTACCCAGGAAAGTGGCTGGACATCACGAACCATTTGTGTCCATTCCAAGGTCACCAAGGAAGTTGTCCGTGACGGCTTGGGTCAAGTTTGAACGGTCCAGCTCCAAGGACATGAACATGACGCAAGCAAAGATCATGATTTTGAAGTCGATTTTCCGTATCAGGGAGTATTCCTCGCGCCATGTCCATCTCGCCGAAGGATCAAATCGTCGGAGATTCTCCCAATCGTCGCGAGGCTGATAGTGTTTGGCCGTTTCAGGGTCATCGAACACGGACGGGAGGGTCGCGATGGCATCAGGGTTGTACCCACGGCCTCTCTGCCACCAGAATTTCTTCTCGTTGGCAGGCACCCCCAGCTCGAGAGTACCGGCTGGAGTGGAGGGAATGCTTTCCTTTGAATCAGAGGGGCTTCCATTGAGGACTCGGTTTACCACAATGGTTTCCTCCTTTTCATTCAGGACCGGTCGAACGAAAACGGTCGCCATGTTTCGAAAATTGGATCTGTTGATGTCTCTATTGGTTTCACACCCATGATAGCAGAGGTGCCAGGGGTATTTAAACACATCGGGACATGATCTATCAGCAGCACTCCCTTGCCAGGCTTGTAGATAGCTTGTTCGATAGGACCGCTCTTGGCCGTATTGCGACATCCACGCCGTACATATTGCAATACTCGCAAATCAAGCAGTTTAGCACGACATCTTCGCGGATCATTCCGTGATGCAGAACAGATGGCAGGACTTCACACCAGTAGGATTTGGCATGTTGTTAATCTAGGACCCAGCCTTTTAGCTTGGAAGAGCGTTGCAAACCTTCAGGGGTGATCTGGAACGATTAGCGGTCCCGTGTAGTCGCAGGACGACACATGCATGTTAACGGCATGCTCTTGCGTCTCCAAAGCCACGGGCCTGGCCATCTCTGAGGTGATCCATTCGATCCGAGGAGCCAAATGCCGAGCAAACAGGCTATTTCTTAGGATTCTTGACCATCCTGGGTAACAGAAAATGCTCAGAACGAAACGACAGTGGAGGCAAATCACCTTTCCGGCGTCAGGATGACGCCATCAGCAGCCTTCATGGGTTTGCATACAAGACTTCGGGGGGTTCGAAGCGAAGAGGTTTGATAACAGTCTAGAGGCGACAAAGGGCGATGAAAACCCTGCTCGATCAACGGTTCCCGGGAAGAAAATGGCGAACAAGATCCTCGGAAAAGAAGAGAAGAGCAAGCAAAAGGCAAGCTTGGGAGGGCATTTAATGCCAAGACTTTGGATGAATACCACGTGATATCACAAGTAGATTGATCTGTTCGGACGGGATGCTCCCTCATTGTTCTGGCTTTTACTTGAATACGTTGGCTAGTCTGGCTGGTTCTCTGCCTCTCTCGGCTGTATGAAATGTCCCGCTGGACTCCCATCAGTCACACAGATACCAGGTGCCTTTTCATCCCTTCCGTAAGGTGGAAGGTAGGGACGATGGAGACTGCTGTGGCCCCTTATGTCTCGGCAAGAGATCAGGGAGGCAATCCTGGGTCTAGATGTCGTTATGGAAGGTCGGTGGCTTTTGCCACGCGCTGTTCCTCCACTGGATGCCCTTGAACCGGAGCATGACCATTGGGACCAGGAAAACGATGTGGATCATGGCAAAGGTCAGCCATGCGTACTGATACTCGATCTGCTCGCCTAATGGGATCCTGTTTCGGTAATTTAAGATGGGGTTAGCCCAAGAAAACTAAATGCCATCCGGATTCCATCGGGGCCGGGAGCGAGAGAGGCTGGGATACTCACGCATAAAAGGAGATGGTCATGGAGAAGACATTGCGAAACACGTTGAGGAGGCTGGATATCTCGGAACTCTGCGGCTTGTAACACTATTGCGAGTCAGCGCCAATTGACACATAAAAGTAGCATAGGCGAGGGGTGGGCCGCATACATCTGTGCAGTAGCTGTAGGTGACTGTAGTCGCGATTTGGAGGCCAAAGTTCGCAATGCCCATGCCGAATGCTGCACCCACCCAAGGGACGGTTTTGTAGTGCGTCAGACAAATGCCATCGATGATGATTCCGATCGGGCACAAGACTGCCAATACCACCGCATTGATACGGGGCTCTGGCTCCCGTCGCCCTCCGTGATGTTTGGCGTAGCGATAAACCATGTAGTCAGTGAGCCACCCAGCACTCATTTCGCCGAGCAAACAGCCGATAAGGAGCGGAATGCTGAGCAGCATGCCAGTCTGCGCAACGTCGAAGTGATATACTGTCCGAAACAGGCTTGATCCGGTCGCTGCGAACAACACCGAGCCAAACCCAAATGCGGTCATGTAGTAAAAACCGGGAATCACGATCGAGAGATACTTCAACATGTAAAACGGCCTCAGGAAATCTCCGAACCGGAGTTTGCGGTCCTGCAAGCCGGAATGTCTGAAGAGCAACAGATCCACAAAAGAACGTTCAGGTCGGTTAATCGAGGTCGACCGGCGAGAATAGATTGTTTCTGGTAGGAAAAACAGTGTAAAGACGAAAGTGCCGAGCTGGATATAGCCCTATAGGAGAACCTTCCGGTCAGCAAAACAGCCCTAGATGGTTGGCATCTCGATCAACTCACAGGGATCAAAAAGCACCATCTCCAGCCTAGACTCTGGGCAATGAAGCCACCGAATAAGGACGCAGCATGAGGCCCATTGGTGAGAAGAAACGTGAAGATGCCCATGTAAAAGCCACGTTCATGCAGGAAATACATGTCGCAAACTGTTGCTGCTCCTATGGCACCTGGAGAACCGGCACCAATGCCATTGAACACGCGAGTCACCATGATCCCAGCCCAGGTGTTGCAGTAGCCCGCAGCGATATTGGTGACGGCGGCCAGGAGGTTGCCAAGAATGTAAACAGGTCTTCGGCCATAGACATTGGCTAGTGGCACAGTGAATATGGGCCCTACTCCCGCGGCGACAATGTAAACGGTAAGTTCGTACGAGGCTTCGACGATAGTGATGTTGAATTGCTTGCTCAATGGCACGAAAGCCGGGTTGACAATTGCGCCAGCCATAGGTCCGAGGAATGCGAGGAAACTGACTTGTAACAGGACGAATAATTTGAGCATCGGTGACCAATTCTGGAGCCAGTCAGTACAAGTTCTGTTCACGCCAAAGCCCTCGCCAGCGCCTCACGTACAAGAGGATCATCTTTGCGATCTGTTGGCTGTGGTATCAGAGGAAGACCCCGTTTGTCGAGTTTCTGGCCTGCCGTTTCTTCTCTCTCGTCCACCTCGACCCTTTTAGCACCGTCAATGTCGACAACGGCTCCTTCAGACGACCATTTGTCCTGCTCCATATTCATAACCTCTGCCTTATTCGAGAGAGAATCCAAATCGTTGTACAAGGGCCGTATGCAACAAGTACATGCGAATTAAACAGCAAGAACGGCGTCAATTTCAACAGTCGACTGAGCCAGGAATGCGGTTCAGTAAGAAGGCAAATCATAACCTGCTGCCCTTCCCTGCCCATGGCGAAGATATGAACCCTGGAACCCAACGCGGGATTTGCACCTGCCTAGGCAAGTAATGAACGTGGGGATCAGTGTGCTCGGTAGTTGCATGAATCCTGACTGTGACATGGGAGACTCGTGTGGGGAAGTGGGTTGGTTTCCAGACCTCCTGACCTGGGATGCTGATTGCCATGTATCACAATCGCCTTATTCGGCACGTTGGAATGGGAAGATGGGGCTCGTTGAGGACAACATCATTGCAGACGGTCCATGACCGTCTTGGCCTGCATGGGGCTGTTGTGAGGGCAACCAATTTGAGGTCCAGAGTGACTGTGGATGGCTTGTCTCGGGGAGATAATGATGTGTATCCCACGTACGACTGATACTCAATCTGCACAAGCTTTTCTCCACAAGCCTCCAAAACTCTTGTCCATTGGAGGCTCTTTTCTCCGCTCACACCCCAGAATTCCGTGACCGTGGAGCGGCGGGGACCACTGGGGACTTTCTTAGACTCCATCCTGCTGGGTGCTGGCAAGGGTGATGGAGGCAGCGAGGGTAAGTGGCGGGACTATATTTGGAGATGCGCGCCCATGCCTTGTCGAAAACGTGCCAGAAGGCCTGTACTCGTGGAAAACCTGACAAGTCTTGCTCGCAAACGAAACCTATTCTCCAATCATAGATAATACGAGTAGACAGCCCAGACAACTTTGTCCCCGGTCCGGCTTCTTACCGAAAATGCCTTCAGCAATCGATCGCCCCCCGCTAAGGGTAGCCATAATAGGCGGTGGTATTGGCGGGCTCTGCACTGCCCTCTCCCTTCATTATCACTGTGACTCGCACGTCGATATCGACGTCTACGAGCAAGCTCCGCAATACAAGGAGATAGGTGCCGGTGTCGGTATCGGCGTCAATGCTGCCAAGCTGTTGCATAAGATAGGTATCGGGGAGAGTGTGGCGAAGATTTCTGGGAAACGGAGTGGCATCTGGATCACCTTTCGCAAATTTGACGACGGCTCGGATGTGGTGACAGTACCATCCGTAGACACGGACGAGATCAAGCAGCTCCCCGTGCATCGTGCCGAGTTTCTGGACCTGCTGGTCGAGATTGTAAGACAGAAGAATGCGGCTAGGCTGCATACCAACAAACGGTGTCGGAGACTTACGGTATGTTCCTCGTGACAAGAATCCTAGACCCGTGGAGCTGACAGACAAACAGGAGCAAGGAGACGAGGTACTGATCGGGTTCGAGGATGGGACGACTGCCACAGCCAACTTGGTTGTCGGCTGCGACGGCATACATTCGGCCGTCAGGGCCCAGTTCACCAGCGACAACCCCGAGTACAGTGGCAGGATCGCATACCGTGGCCTGGTACCCATCTCCCAGATTGAGGACTGGTGGGGGTTCGAAACGTATTCCGTGACATGGCTGGGGAAGAATAGGCACTTTCTATGCTTCCCAATCTCCCTCAACAAAACGCTCAACATTGTGGCGTTTGTGGCCGAAAAGGAAGAGAACTTGGGCGATCTGCGGGAAAGTTGGACGGCGGTAGGCAAGAAAGAGGAGGTCTTTGAGGCATTCAAGGGGTTTGAGGAACGAGTCCAGAAGGTCATCCAACTGATGCCAGAGCAGCCGTCCAAATGGCTGATAAATGACCGCAAGCCGCTGGATCAATGGGTCTATCTCGGAGGTAAGGCTGTATTACTGGGAGACGCTGCGCATGCCATGACTCCTCACCAAGGTCAGTATTGTCTGGTGGATGTGTGTGGGTTGCTTGGACTAACAAGTGGCAAAGGCGCAGGCGCAGGCCAGGCCATTGAAGATGGATATATTCTCGGTCGAGTTCTCCAGGACTACTTTCGATCTTCTCCTGCGATGGACAAACTCGAGGCCTGGGCCAATGTATATCAGGACGTTCGGCTCCCGCGAGCACAAAAGGTTCAACGCACATCCAGAGATGCTGTCGAAGTCTATCAGGCGCAGGCGGATATCATGAAGGATCTTCCATTCGACGAATGCGTGCCCGAGATTCACAAGCGTGTGATCGACCGAATGCGGTGGGTTTGGACAGATGATATCGATGCTGAATATGATCGGGCGGTGAAGAACAGGAAGCAATTGGGTAAACTGTAGCCTATAGACGAGTTGTTTGAGTGACGTTCTCAGAGCCATTGTTTGGAGGTCGCTCTTTATCAGCACTACGCGACTTTTTCTGAGCTGCGACTCAAGAGCTCAAGATCGGGAAGTCACTTACTTTGTGCCGCTACACGGGTTTTCAGCTGAAGGGTGAAAGAACCGCGTTGACAAGCAATAGATTATACCTAGTTTCTTCCATAATCGCCCACGTTATAGTCATTCATTCGTAACATAGTCCAATTCTCCCAAATGTTCATACATAGCCGAATATTCTAGCTCGGATTGATTGCGTCCAAGCTCAATCGACTCTTTCTCTATGACTCTTCTTCTTCTTCTGGACCACACGGCGCGACATGGATCTGCCAGTATTTTCGGATCTCCTTAGGCAAAGGTCCCGAAGCCGTGCTGTTCTTGTCTTCCATATTATACTCTGGGTGCGTAACGCATTGGGACAAGATCCCTCTCTTTGTCCCTGTACTTTGGTACCTGAGAAACTTCTCTGACACCTTGACATATTGATTGACACCTTCGTGCGCGTCGATCGTGGAGCCCGTTGTCCACCGGAGCAGCCATGGCTCAATCAGTGGCGCGTCCGTGACTGACGGATGGGATGTGCCCACTGCAAAAGAGGTCAGTGGCTCGCGTATTCCAGATTATACGGGTCAATCGCCTACAGGATGTAAGAAACCATGCATCCTTTCCTCTTCTTAAAACACCCTGGACAACATCCTTGACAACGTCGAAATGAGGTCTGCCAAAAAAGATAGAATGGCTTTTAGACCATGAATTTGAATGGAGAATTAGAGTTGGCACCTGGACATCGTGGTTGAGAGGTCCGCTCTGCTTGCCACTGCTGGCGGTCAGGCATTGCACATGGAAATGTACACAGATGACTTACGGATCCAGAGCAACAGCACCTTGAAATGGGAGGAGCTTCGAAGGGCCTTGCTTTAATGTTTGGAGCTAGGAAATGTTAGCCAAAGAAAATGCTCCAGTGATTTTGTATCAACTCACGGCCAAAGTGGCTCCGAATGAATGTCCTCCCATTGTGGTGTTGTTTAAGGCCAGCCGTCCCTCCCACTGATGTAGATATTGGCCCTCGGATCGGGAGTTTGACACGAAGACTTCTTCGCCGCCACCCACGTTGATATGCTCTAGTGTTCGAATAGTTTCCTCAACCTCGGCTTGCCGGAAATCGAGCTGGGCCTGTTTGAATGTGTCACTGTCCAACTGAGAGTCGCTCCTATTTCCAGTCAGATATTGCTAGGACTCTAGCAGCAGATAGACCTACTTCAAGTGGCGCACGTCGAAATGATGCAAAATCCGTGGTTTGGAGCCGTGCTTCATTATCATAGTGCCCGGTCCACTGCCGTCCCGGTGTTCAATGGCAGCTACAATAACTCCACGGCTTGCAAGCTCCCCGACATACTGGGTGTACTGGGTCCGAGAACTAGCCATCCCGTGTGAGAAGACCATGACCGGAAAGCCATCTTCGTGCGTGATAGGATAGTCTTCGAAATCTGGCAACTGAAGTTGCACCACTGGAGACTGATGTAGAGGAACGTCGACATGCGCTGGGATTCTGGTGTTTCCTACTAATGCCCACAGTCCAAGCGTGAGCAGTGCATTAGTGACAAAGTTGCTGATTCGAGCGACTCGAGCATATCCCTTGCCCGTCACCCTGAGCGGCTTTGGAACCCAGAAATGCTGTGGTTTGGTTGGGACGGCGTCCTTGTCGGAGGGATAATAGAGAGTGAACAAGACAGTTTCCAACTGCGCTCGATGGTCAGAGCCTGCAACGAACCACGCCGCGCTTGAGTATTGCTCACCTGGAAAGCCGGGTGGCCACCGTCCTTGAATGTCGCATTATGGATGGATCGAGTCTCAACAGGGAGCTCGACATCGATTGCGCCCACAGAGTAAGGACCAGTGTATGGTGGTAGCTTCGATGACAAAGATGGGGCGGAGAAAACAGTGCAGTAGGCGACATAGGTGGCGACACAGCAGCAAAGAACGTATCTCCATGACCAGCGCGGCCACACGACAGGCTTCACGCGCATCCAGAGCCTTTCCCACACCATCGACCCCATGTTTGCGATATACCAAAAGAGTATGCAAGTTGCGTTGACTACATGTGACGTGAATAAGATGAAGACATTTTGATATATCACGCATATCTGAAGCCAAGAAAGTCGCAAGTGGCGCAGTCAGCGGCTCGATCGGACATTTTCCTCGCAGGCTGCTCCTCTTTGGGTCTTGAGGGGTCACCAGGCACGCCGGGAAACCAAAAGCGAGAGAGCATTAGGTGCCGCCGTGCCCCGGAGCCAGTAGCAAGTAAGGGAGGCCACGCCCCCGTCTTGGCACCAAGAACAAAGGCATTTGGCGGTGACGACATCATCTCTACCAAGTACAAGTCCTTACTTGGTACTTAGACTGCGTACTCGTTGGATATCAACAGCAAAACAACGAGAACCCGAAACATGTTCCAACTTTCACAAATTCCTCAACATGCAAACCAGGCCACCCTATTCTCGAACATCTGACTGGGAAGTAGGTCAGACTGCCACACTGCATACTCGAAGAGCCGTTCAAATAAAGGGAAATGTGCTTTGGACCTGCCACAATCTTACCTTCCTGCTACCCACTAAAACACTTGCTCCTATGTGACGAGAGCGCAGCACAATGTTGAATGAGGCGTCTACATACACCTCAGATCATTCCATCAAATATGGCTTACAAGAAATGAAGCATGGAGGATGCGCTGGTGCGGCCAGAAAATTAGCCGAAGGCTGCGGGCCAGCCTGTGCAATTTACCGCGAAAAAATAGGTTCAGGGCCGTTTCACACTCTCTACGAGGACGGTTGATCTCGAGCCGTTCTTCACCATACTTCGATCAGAGACTGCAGAGTTGTAGAAGACCCGTTGACAAGTGTCAGGCTGGATATTCCTTCGAAGAAACCACCTTCTCACAAAGCAATGCTGGTGATATCCGATGGGAGCTGCTTGGTCTCTGTCGCGTAAACTCTACACCGCAATCACCTGTATGGCCTCGACGGCATCCATTCTGAACGGCCACGCGGATTGACCGTACACCCCATGGGGAGGATCCTGGGGCTTCTTCGTTCCACAGCTCCACCTGTGAGATATAAGAAGGCTTTTTGTATAAATTCGTCCATACATGTTACAGACTTCTAATCGCCCTAACGAGAGACTTCGTGACTGGAAGTTGAGACTGAACAATTCTCTCATTTACCATGCATCCTAAGGTTATTGAGACGTCCTTGGGCGTGGAAAAAGCTCATGATGAGTTGGTCGACGACGAGATTGCTCTTGAAAAGCTCTCGATGTCAAAAACGTACGATTATTCTGGAGCGACAAGCAAGACCGATCCAGCAGAGATTGCCCTGGTGAGGAAGCTCGACTGTCGCATCATGCCGATGATCTGGGCGATGTATTTCTTGAATTATGTGAGTTAGACTATGATGCAGTGTACTGTCAGCTAATAAGATGCGAAGTTGGACAAAAATGCGATTGCCTCAGCACGTCTTAACGGGTTGGAGGACGATATCGGCCTCACAGGGTCCCAGTACAACACCTGTATATCGATTCTCTTCGTCGGGTAAAAAGGAGATACTTGAGCTTCGAAGGTCAATATCCGCTGATAGAGTCGCAGATACTTGTTGATGCAGCTACCATCTAACATGCTCATGGCGTCCAAAAGGATTCGACCATCAATCTACATGGGCTTCTGCATGGCCCTATGGGCTGTATGCTCGGCATGTACTGCTTTGGTTCAGAATTACCATGGACTTGTGATCGCTCGGTTCTTTCTGGGAGTTGCTGAAGCGCCTTGTGAGGTCTCACCGGTTATTTGAGAAGCATTGCTAACCTTTACAGTTTATCCGGGTGCACTATTCCTCCTATCCATCTTCTATACCAGAAAAGAAATTGCTACTCGTATTGCAATTTTGTACACAGCGAACATTCTCTCTACTGCATTCTCCGGATTGATTGCCGCCGCCATATTCTCTACCATTGACGGAGCGCATGGAATAGAAGGCTGGAAATGGTGAGGGATTTAATCTAGTCCTCCTTGCATTCGCTAACTCGAGCACCAGGCTGTTTATCATTGAAGGAGTCGTCACATTCGGGATTGCCATACTATCCATGTGGGCGTTACCAGACCATCCATCGTCCACACGCTGGCTTTCGGAGCAAGAGATGGCAATAGCTCAAGAGAGAATTACCAGGGATACAGTGGAGAAGACGGAATCTGAAAGTGCGCTGCAGAGCCTCAAAGTCGCATTTTCCGACCCTCGTCTCTATCTTTTGGCCTTGATGCAAAATCTCCATCTTTCTTCTGCCGGATTCAACAACTTCTTCCCCACGGTGGTGGGCACCCTCGGGTTCAACCGCACCGTCACGTTGGTCCTGACATGTCCGCCATTTGTATTTGCAGCAATCTTTGGGCCCCTCCTTGCGCTCAGCTCTGGGAGATTCAATGAGCGGACGTGGCACATCACCGGTGGAATGGCTATGGGAGTGGCGGGCTTTGTTATAGCAGCGGCGACCCTTAACACGGCTGCTCGGTATGTCGCCTGTTTTCTGTTCTCAGCTGGCGTCTATTCCGTCAACTCATGCATCCTCGGATGGGTATCAGCGACACTCGGACAAACAGCAGAAAAGAAAGCGATTTCCTTGGGATTTGTCAACATTGTGGCCAATGCTTCTTACATCTACACTCCATACTTGTACCCAAGCTCTGACGGTCCGCGCTACCTACCAGCCATGGGTGCCAATGCAGGCTTTGGGGCTGGAACCGTTATTTGTGCGTGGGTATTGAAGATCTGGCTGATGGCTGAGAACAAGAAATTGAGAGCCAGTTCTGGGGACGGTGGACTTGCCTACGCTTATTGATTTCACCTTGGTTCTCGCTGTCGCTGTTGGGGTCACAAATCGTCCATTGGCTGCGGCACTTGTTCTCTACATATGTAGGCTTTGTCGAACCTAGGACCCCGTACATAAGTTTGAATGATCATAGACTCCAAAGGAACGGAGAGGTCTAACTATAGATAGAAACAAGCACATTGAAAATTAGGTCGAGGCCCGGCCGGTGGATGGCCGTTCCATTGCTTTGGTGTCGACAATGAGCCGAAAATCTCCCGTCAACAGCCCATTTTCATCTGTAACCTCACGCAACCCACAATATCTTTTGATTTTTATTCCACCTCTACCCTTTCTTTAAACCCTAGCCTGCCTTCAGGTAGCATGTTCTCTCTTGATCGACGTGCATCATGCCGTCCAAGTCGATCGCCCCGATCGAGATAGGATCGTTCACTGCTTCATCGCCTGAAAAGACAGAATTTATAGGCAGCGCGAGCGGAGTCTTCTTCGTCAACACTGTCTTCCGCGCCTTTGCTCGATCCGCCTACAATTCCAAGGCGCTACCGTCAAATGGAAACTCGACACACAATGACCCTGGGTCAGTCGACAGTCGGCTCGTCGACCCAGAGACCCCTATGCAGCTGGACCACGAGATCGCGGGGATGAGGATCTTGATCGAGAATGAAACAGCGCCGAACTCTTACGGCGTCAAAGGGCATGGACTGGGGGTTGCGCCAGAGCAAGACTCAGCCAGGGAGCTCCTGATGCTATACCTCAAACACTGGCATCCTCTTTTCCCATTTCTACATGGTCCAACCCTCTTCGAAACAATCCGTGGCCTATATGAGCACGACGGGCAGCGGAGGCTTTCACTGAGAAATCGCCTGTGTCATGCCATCATTTGCCAGTGCGTGTTCAATATTGCAGCCCTTGATCAGCCCGACGGGATGCTTGCGCCGGACTCGCGACTCGATTCGCCGGCCAAGCTACTCTCCCTCTTGGGGTACGTCGCGAGTAACCACGACACTCTTTCGTTGCAGGCTCTGCTCGCCGCCCAACTCTATCTGGTGGCGACCATGTCTCTCCGAGCGGCGTCGACGATAGGAGGAACCCTGACGCGAGTGATGTATCACGCTGGTTTCCACCGGTGTGCTTTCCGGTATCCCCAGCTGTCGCCGCATGAATGCGAGCTGCGGAAGAGGATCTTCTGGAGCGCCTACGTACTGGATCGCTATTTGAGTCAGGCTCTTGGTCATCCTCTGGGGATTCAAGATTCTGACCTGGACGTCTGCGTTCCGGGCATGGATGAACTCCACAAACCGGTTAGGGCAAGCCAGCAGGCGGCGTCCGCAAGTAGGGCGCCCGCTGAGGGGGTTCTGGCTCATCTACCCCGAGGCCACCACAGGCGAGGCTCACAATCAGAAGAAGTTACAGCGTCCGAACATGCTGGCGGTCCCACCAACACTGGTTCAGAACCAGAGTCTCCCACTTTGGATCCTTCGCGCGATGTCAATACTGCCCAAACATCCCAAAGCTCTCAGATACTGGGCCATTATGTGCTCTATTGCCGACTCACAGGTCAAGCAGTCCAGACCTTCCACATCTCGATCCAGAACCGGACGATAAATGCAGAGCGAATGATGGAGCTTCAATCAAATGTTCATGCGTGGTGGAACGGTCTGCCTCAGGAATTACAGGACGAGGATACTGGCGACGGCGGCAAGCTTGCCTCGACCTACACATTCTTCTTTTGCATCCTGTATAACCATCTTTTACTTCTCAGTAATCGTCCCTTTCTCTCTCTTTCGCCAAAGTCCCTAGAGTTCAAGTCGAGTCTGCAGACATGTATTGCCGCAAGCCGACAGATTATTACAATGTCACGACGTCAACACGACCGCGGCTTGATCGTATCTTGGCCCGGAATGTTATCAGCAACATGGATGGCTGGATTGGTTTTGGCCTTTGCATGTACATTGAAGCGCTATCCATTCAGCAAAGCGCAAAGGTGAGTGTGCTTTATCAACCTCTGAATATGGGCTGACACAATGCAGAGAAATCGAGGATTCTATTCGTAGTCTCTCGGCAATGGCAAAGAGCTGGAACAATGCGAGACATTGTGCAGAGGCACTCCAGTCTCTGTTGGAGAACCTGGCGGCACAATATAATAGGGGACAGAGTGTCATGGTCTCCCCTTCCTCATCCAACTTCGCCATTCCGGGGACTTCAGTACCAGCAACAGTCGGAGGGTCAATAGAACCACCCACTACGCAACTCTCCATGGCTGAAACAAATGAACCTTCCAGGAAAAGGAAGAGGACCAGTCGAGGGCAACAGGGACAAAGCCGTCACCAAAGCGAGCTACCCGATGCAACGAGAGATCGAGCGAATCAATCTCAAACAATTAACCAAGACTTTGACGCCGATTCCTATCAATTGCCCAGCCTCAACAGTGGCGCAATGTTCCCCATTCTCGAATACACAGGACCGGATTTTGGCTTCAGCAATGGACAATATCCAACAATGGACGACTTTGAGTTCCTCGGTCTGCCAGTTTCCGACGATTTGTACCCAAGCAATCCCGGGGCTTTTGGTAATATCGGTTGGGAGGCCATGGCCAACGGTTCCGGAAACATGCAAAGCTGGGCTGCTTGGGGCACGCCAAAGTTTTGAGCAACAGAGACTTGTGAGTGTCGGATGATATGCTGGACTCCGTTACTCTGTTTGCTCAATGCTACTCACCAAACGAAAGTGTCCTGGAACTCTTTTGGGAAGGAAAACTTGCCGTCCGCGGTGCCTGGATTGGCTGCAGAGGCGGAAGATCGTTGATTGCGAACATCGGCCATTTCAGGTGCATGAGACGAGGTGCTAGCACGGTCTTGAGGATTTTGCATCATTGCCACGGATGACGGATCCGTGTCTTCATCCATCGGAGACAGTGTGCCCTGGTCTTGTGCTTCACTGGGAGTGTTTGTCGGATGCGATTGCTGGTCTTGATTCTCCCCAATGTCGGTGGTGTCCATTGCACATGGATTCTCAACTTGATCCTTCCACACAAGCACGTCTTCAATAGTGTGCAGAGGGAACTGTTCCCAGAAGGCGATGGCGGACTTCTTCTCCTCAGTGGTGCTCAAAGTTCCGACGGAGAGAAGTTGCGGTATCTGGTCTTGTGCTTCTGGAGAGAAGGCCGCCGTCAAGCTTTCTTGTTGGCAAGCCGAGAGGATCCGCCACAGCACTCTCTCAGTCTCTTTCAATCGAATCTCAAGCGCCTCGATATAGCCCTTTGCAGGACCTCTGTTGTCCGAGATAAGTCAGCAGGGTCATGACCCGGCGGCCTCCCAGCAACAACACCATGTCGGAGAGACTGACCTCTTCTGACTTCTCGGCCATGAGCAGGCCTGGGCAAGACTTCGACAACGGCTGCAAACGGGTCTTGGTGTCGTCAGTGTCACACCTCGACGAAAGCAAACAACAGGAATCCATAGCGCCAACGAACCTATTGCCATCGCACTAAGAAGCTTTGTCAATATTGATCTTATGGATTGCAAAGCATCACAGGCCCGACGACTGACCTTCTGTTTCCTTGCTCTACAAGCATAGCAAGCCGAGCGGCTTCTGGAACCCGAAGCACTTTCGGATGAGGCCTTGGGCTGAGGCATGGCTAGCGCAGCTGGACAGGCCCGCAAGGAATCTTCTTGGGCGGGTTTACATCAAGCAGGTCTACAGGCTTTGGGCGGCAGAGCGGTCAGCGTCGGCATAAAATTGTTTCTTCAGGTGAAGTTTGAACAACCAAGACGGACGCTCTGATTAGTCAAGAGGCCGATCCCGTTGCGGACAAAAGATTCTCCGATCGGACAATCTTTTAAGCGTCGCTTGTGCATGCAACGAACGATAGTGAAGCCAGTGGGCATCGCTAATATATGCCGGGAGATGAGAAGAACAAACCAAAGTCTGGTCACCAAGTGCTGTCGGACAGTATCTGACTACTAAGATATGTTTGAGGGCTTCGAGACGTTCGATATCACCACGCAGACAACTCCCGAGGTGAGAATTCATGGTGTCCAGAGCAAAGGCGGAGGGCGAAATCTCCCGCCTTTGCTTCTCCTGCATGGATTCCCACAGACTCACCACATCTGGGACGCTGTATCTAGTCGGCTGCGATCCAAATTTGACATAGTTGCTCTTGATATTCGCGGATATGGGGAGTCATCCAGTCCGTCCGACCTGGCGAACTATGCAAAGAGCGCCATGGCTAGAGATTGTGTCAAGGTTATGGAGACACTCGGCTTTGATTCATTCTTTATCTGTGCACACGATCGAGGGGCAAGAGTCGCGCATAAGCTGTGCGTCGACTTTCCGGACCGGGTGAGAAGGGCGATTTTCCTGGATATTTGTCCCACCCTGGCCATGTACACATCGACGAACTTTGAATTTGCCCGGTCTTACTTCCACTGGTTCTTCTTGATTCAGAAAGAGCCGCTTCCGGAAACGTTAATATCACAAAATCCCAGACGATTTGCCGAGTTATTCATGGGCGGACGACAAGCCAGTGGACTGGACATCTTTCAGCCCGAGTGCTTTGATCGCTATGTCCGCAATCTCGGCGATCCAGCCATCGTGCATGCCATGTGTCAGGACTACCGGGCAAGCGCTTCTCTGGACATGGATGAGGCAAGAGAAGACCTTGAGAACAACCGCCTCATCCAGTGCCCGTTAACGGTTCTTTGGGGTCGTCACGGGGTCATTGAAAAATGCTTTGACGCCGTGTCGGAGTGGAGAAGGGTTACGGCTGCGAATGTACGTGTGGAAGGACACAGCATCGATTCGGGTCATTATATTCCGGAGCAAGCGCCTGACGAAGTTGTCATGGCGATTGAAAAGTTCTTCTTGTGAGCTGTTGGCGATTCCGCCGCTGACGGACAGCGCGACAATTTGTATCGAAAGGCCAAGGGGCCGGGCCATTCCACTCAGCCAGCACATGGATATAGGCAAATTGGAATCCCGATACTAACGGGGTATGATAATATGGCTGTTCTCCACCATTTACCCTCTTAATTAGCTGGCCACCAGTCACCAGTTACCGATGCTCAGAGCCCAAGACACTTAATGGGAGTTCAATGATATCTTCCAAGCGACAGGATAAAATCGTGCCGGGGTCTGTTATTTCCAGTTCCTGCCACAGTACCACCGAGACTGTCCACGATAGAGCAAATGGACCTGGTCGGCGTCTTATGTATGGTTCATGTACGCGCATCAGGTTAAAGAGACGGCAGACTCTTCTTTAAGAGCCTTGCGGCATGCTACATTTCTCTCCCTTTCGCTCTCTTCCTCACTTGCTTCCTCCTCTGACTCACCCTCTCACACGCACTCTTTCTCTCCTTCTTTGTCTTGTCTCTCTACCTTTCTCTGTACCTCTTCTCCATAAGGCTCGGCAGGCAGGAACCTACCGACAGTTCCTAGCCAGCCGAGCCAGCCGAGCCAGTCACTTCTGCCCCCCAAGCTACACAGCGTCTTTTGCGTCTCTCGACTCCACCCTGTCCATGTGCTCGTGAAGCTCACTGACTTTTTCGATCGAATCGCCTCCCTTACCGTCGTGGTGCTCGACGACCAGTTGATCGTTGGTCGGGTCGAGGTGCACGTCTCTCAGGTAGACGGCGACCTCGTCGGCGTCGCCGAAGATGGCCGCCACCTCCTCGAGGGGCATGCCCTTGGTCTCGGGCACGAGGAACCAGCACCAGACGACGGCAACGGCCATGAGGACGATGAATACCTTGGTTTTTTGTGAGTAAGTGTCAACAAAATCTCGTGACTCTCCGAGTCTCTGAGGAGGGGAGAATGAAAACTTACAATGTAGAATCTATATCCAATGTTCTGGAACGCCGTGGGCCCGACCTGGAGGTAGACGAGGTCGGTCAGGGCAAAGACCACGTAGCATATGGTGGCACCCTTCGGCCGGATGTGGTTTGGGAAGATCTCGGAGAAGAAGACGGCCGAGTTGGCGTCGATCCCGGGGTCGTAGAAGACGGCGAACATGTAAGTCGCGGCGACGGCGACGCCCAGGCCGGCCTTGTTCTCTCCCGTGTCCGCGTACAGGGCTACCATGGCCGCCTCGATGACCAGACAGACCAGGCACCCGATGAACGCCCACAGCATGAGCGATTTGCGTCCAAAGTAGTCGAGTGCGATGGCTCCGCCGAGGTTTCCAAATATAGCCACTTTTTGACCCAGTTAGATGGGTACTTGTATAGATATATATCTCTCTCCGAGAAGGACGAGGGCGGAGATAGAGAGGCCACTTAGAACTCACCTGAGATCCAGCCGCACTGGAAGATCAGTTGATCGCGCGGCCCGTAGCCCAATGCGCGGTAGATGATAGTGCCCTACCGGCGAAAAAAAAAAAGTCAGCGGAAGAGCTTGACGGGAGAAACGTCCCATAGATGAGAGAGCTTTACATAGTTTGTGATCACCGTAGCCCCGGAGCTCTGGCCGAGGAACGCGAACGTGGCGCCCATGACCGCACGCTTGCGGTAGGACGGCCTCCTGATCATCTCCCACCACGAACAGTTCATCTCGCGATCAATGTCGACCTGCTTCTGCATCTGGAAGAACTCGGTGCGGGCGTATTCGGCGCGCGTGTCGCCCTTGATCTTGTGCAGGTCGGACACGATCTGCCACGCTTCCTCTGGCCGCCGCGCCATGAGCAGGTAGCGGGGTGACTCCGGGATGAACCACAGCATGAGGAGCATGAGGATGGGGAAGAACAGGGCGAGGCCTAGCGGGCCACGCCACTGCGCTGTGACGTTGGTCGAGTAGAAGAAACCCAGCCCGACGTAGGATGCAATCGAGTAGCCCAGGCCAATCATGACGCCGTTCATACCGACCATCAATCCACGATACTCGGGTTGGGCCAGCTCAGAAGTATACACAGGCGCTGTGACATGGTCTGATCAGTACAAGGTGTGCCATTCGACGGGGGAAATTCTTTGGAAGTGCGAGAACAACGGAGAGACAGCCTTGTACGTACTGACGCAGAGAAACCCCCAACTCCCCAGACCGGTGAAGAAGCGGAACACCATGAACATTGCCGGGTTCAGGCTGGCGGTGAGGATGGCTCCGCTGATGATGGAAATGACCGAACAGACGATCATGGCGGTCTTCCGACCCCATTTCTCCATCACGTAACCAGCCATGATCACTCCAAAGACAGAGCCAGCCTGAATGGTCGAAGAGGTCAGCCAGCCATACCCCGGTCGTCTTGAGAAAAACAGGAAAGGAAACTCTTTTACCTGAAAGATACCGGTGAAAGCGCCGATCAACGTGTTACCATGGGGACTGATTGAGTCGGTCCCGTCCAAGAGGCCCATGTAGTCGAGGAAAGCGGGTTGACCGATCGTCGAGGCGAGGATCGACGAGGGATACGCAAAGCATAACATGCCCGACGATATGGCCGAGCATACGCCAAAGTTCTTCCAGTTCATACGCATGATGGGCGATTAGTCGACGTAGTGACTCGGGAAGAAACCTGCAAGGGAATAGCGAACAGAGCAGGTGAGCAGGCCACCCAGGCTGGAGGGAGGACGTCGGTGAGTCTTAAAGTAGATTGTATATAGCTAGTGGTCTCGCTACCCCAGGTGATACTTGACGCCCCTTATCAACGGACGTGGGGTCCGCCGGGGGGGATCTGGAGCGTTTTCGTTCCCTCGTCCGGGATCGATCTTGCGGGCGGGAACGGCGGAGCCATGATATTTGTAGAGCTGGAGGGGGAAAATAGTCGTTGATGCCGCCGTTCGAACAATGGCAGCGAGAATCTCGGTCCCGCTGAGAAAAAAGTGGGTCCGACTCATATTCCCGCCCAATGCGGAATGCACTTTTTCGGCCTGGGTTGAGGTACTTGACAGGGGGCGGGATGTAGGGAATGGAGAAAGATATCCTCGAGATATGGTCATGGGGGCCTGATTGGGTTGTACCTGCTTTCAAAGGGATTATTCCTCACTCTTGCTCTGGATGATAGGTAGTCGGAGTGTGTGGTCTGCCGATTTCTAGTGCTGGATAAGACACATTGACTATATCTATCAGGTCGAAAAACCACAATAAGCTTAAATCCATGATCGGAATAGACAGTCAAGATGTAGCTGATGTAATCGTATATGGCTGCTGGGCAGGTTGATGTAATGGTCAATCTCATTCTATCTACTCACACCCATAGACTATTCGTAACGGTGGCCGAACCCTCAGACATATATCATAACTTGTCTGACCTTGCCTCCCTCAACCCCTGGCTGCATTGCTGCCACACGCTTCGACTACCGGCCGCAAGGAATGACGAGTCTGATCCTGCCAGAAGAAAGCTAAACCCCATCTCCTTCTTTCGTCTCACGGCTTGTTCTGTACCGGCGACGGTGCCAATTTCCACACCATACTTCCGGCCGATGCTCAATATTTTCTCCAATGCCTGGATGAATTCAGGCTCCTCGCCGTCTCCGCCCGGGAGACCAAGAGACTGGCGAAGGTCGAAAGGTCCGACGAAGCATGCTGTTACCCCCTTCACGCTTAAGATCTCCTCGGCTCGCTCGACGCCCGCCACCGACTCGATCATCGGGATGATGGCCAGCTCCTTGGATCTTTGGGACATGTACTTGGCCACATCCGCACTGCTGTC